GTTTTTGAGTGGAGTTGAATTAGGTTTGTTTTCGATTTAGATTCCAAATGTATTTTTATTTTTGTTTAGCGAGAGGCCAGCTTGATAGAGTTGATTTTTATTTTTGGAATTGATTTTTTATTATTTGTTTTTTATTCAATTTCAAAGAGTGTTGACAGTGTGTTGATTGCGTAGGTTTTTGAGTGGAGTTGAATTAGGTTTGTTTTCGATTTAGATTCCAAATGTATTTTTATTTTTGTTTAGAGAGAGGCCAGCTTGATAGAGTTGATTTTTATTTTTGGAATTAATTTTTCATTCTTTGTTTTTTTGATCAATTTCAGATAGTGTTGACAGTGTAGGTGATTTTGATGTTTAGAGTTCATTTTTGGTGCTCTGTTTTTTATCAACATGCTGATGAATTATAGTTGTGTTCTATGTTTTTTCAAACCAGAGAAATTTCATTTTCTGCACTATTGTTTGTGTAGTCCAGAGGAAATTATAAGTGCATATGGACATATTATTAGAAGTTTGCAATGGAGATAGCATATGAGAAAGTGAATGTAAGTTCATAAATTTCTCTATACTTGTATTTGTAGTTCAGAGAAAATTGTAAGTTTGTTACTCACTTTCAGTTTGTAGTTCAGAGAAAAGTATTTCTCTGGACTTGTATTCTATGTGATTTTTTTTCTATAATTGTGTTTAATTGTTAGCAGTAAATTTCTCTGTGATTCATTAAGTTTCTGTGATTTTGTTTTTTATCATCTTGAAGGTGAATATCAGTTTGTAGATGTCTTTGGAGTTTTATTTTAAGTTCAGAGAAAATTATAATTTTTAGAAATTTCTCTGACCAGAGATGTTGTTATTGTGAAGTGTTTGTGTGATTTTTTTTGTTGTTTTTTGTTTCAGTTTCAATGGACAGTGCAGTGTTGTTGCTGTGCAAATATGGGAATGATACTATTGTCATTAATGTTTCATGCGAATTGAATTTTGAGGAATTGGTTGGCATTTTGTGTAATACATGGGAGAATTTGAAACCTGAGACTATGTGTATTTCATATTCTATTTTGGGCCATCCGAATTGTATGGTTCGAAATAATATTGATTTTGTGAATATGTTGAGGGTTGTTTGTACACGCGGTGTTGATATAGTTGATGTTTCAGTTAGTAGATGTAGTACTTCTGATGAAGAGGATGAAGTGGGGTCTAATTGGGTAGATGTTGTGGATGGTGAGTGTGATAGGCTGGTGGATGTTGAAAGGAATTCACTCTCTAAGTTTTGTTCTCACCAAGAAAAGGTGTTATTGTCGGCTAGTTAGCGGAATAATATTACGAGTGTTGGACAAAAGTTTGAGGGTGGTGTGGTTGAGTTCCGTACTTTTTTATGCAAGTATGCTATTGAGGTTGGTTTTCAGTTTACGTATGTTAAAAATGACAAGGTGAGGGTTACGACAGAATGTGCATATAAGGAATCAAGGGGATGTATGTGGCGTGTACATGCTTCTGTTGAAAAAACAAATGGGTTCTTCTACATAAGGACTTTGAACAATAAACAAACGTGTGGTGTGGCGGTTCGTACGAGTAAACATTCGAGAATGACTTCCAGTTTAGTTTATGGACTGATACTTGAAGAGGTAAGTGCAAAACCTTTAACTCGTCCAGTGGATGTTATGAAAGAAATGAAAGACAAGTATGGGGTCTCAATCAGTTATAACTGTGGTTGGTTGGGTGTTGAAAAAGCAAAATGTAGTACATATGGGGATTCTTGTTTGTCATTTGATCAATTACGGTGGTATTTTGATGAGGCATTGAAGAACAATCCAGGGAGTCGTTTTGAGTTAGATTTTGAAGATAACAAGCATTTCAAAAGAGTGTTTGTGGCTTTTCATGCATGCATTGCTGGTTTCAAATATTGTCGGTCATTGCTTTTTCTTGATGGAACATTTTTGAAAGGATGATACAAAAGAGTTATGCTTGATGCAACGGGGAAAGATGGGAATGAAGGTAATTGTAAATATATCTAATTTTATCTAAGTAGGTGAATTTTCTATACATGTAGGAACTGAGTGAATGTTAATTTTCTCTGGTTTTGGCCACTGTGTAGATTTTCTATTGTTGTGGCCACTGTGAGAATTTTCACTGGATTTTGGTCAGTGTATGAATTTTCTCTAGATGTTGTCATTGTGTGAATTGTATCTGTAGGTGGTCACTAAGTGAATTTTCTCTGTATATTATGATTGTGTGAATTTTCTCTGTAGCTGGTCACTAAGTCAATTTTCTCTGGATGTTGCCAATGTGTGAATTTTCTCTGGATGTTGGCAGTGTCAAACTTCTCTGGTTGTTTATTGTTCTATTTTTCTCTGCATGTGTATATCTAATATGCTTGTTCCTATTTGTTTTGTAGGTTTTTTTCCTGTGGCTTTTGTTGTTGTTGATGCTGAGAATAAAGACAATTGGTGTTGGTTTCTTGAACATTTATATGGAGTATTAGGATCAGAAAGGGTGATAAGTTTCATATCAGATCGACATTGTGGAATTGTGGAATTGTAGAGGGAATTGCTAGGTTTTTCCCTAACTGCTTTCATGGATTTTGTCTGGAACATCTAAAGAGAAATTTAAGGGATAAGTTGTCATGTGGAAACACAAATTTGGTTAGGGAGACGATTGTGTCCAAGTTTTCAGAATGTGCATATGCTCCAACAAAGGCATCATTTCATTTCAAGTTAAATGAGTTAAAAAGTGAGGGAGGAGACATTGTGAGTGTTTTCTTAAGAAGTTTACCATATGAAAATTGGAGTGATGCATATTTTGCAGGGAAACGTTATGGTGAGATGTATTCAAATGTTGCTGAGTCATTCAATTCATGGATACGAGAAGCTCGGCACTTGCCAATAACAAATTTGGTGGACATGATACGGTTGCAAATCATGAATATGAGGTCTGATAGGAGGCTGCTCTCTAGTAAATAGAATAAAATTTTGTGTCCTCGTATGGATAGTGTGTTGGAGAAGTCTTTTTGGGACGGGAGGACATGGAATGTGAGTTTATCATCTGATAATGTCTTTGAAGTACATTGTTTTCCTTCGGTTATGGTTGATCTTGGGTTGAGAACTTGTTCATGTCGAAAATGGGAAATAAATGGGTATCCATGTCAACATGCTGTTGCTGCAATTTTTAGGAGTGGAAAGAATTTGAATTCATTTGTTGAACCATTTTTTCATGGTGATATGTATCTTCAAGCATACTCGTTTTCGATTGGCCCAGTTCCAACTGTTGAAAAACCTGTGTGTAGCATTGAAGATGCTATGATTTTACCTCCATTGAGCAAGAGATCTGCTGGGAGGCCGAAGAAGAACAGAATTGCTTCTACTGGAGAGTTTAAAAGGGTGATTAAGTGTAGTCATTATGAGAGTATTGGTCACCATAATAAGAGGACATGCAAGGAACCTTTGTTAAATAGTTGAGGATTATACATTTTATTGATTGAATAATACATTTGATGATTACTTTGTTTATTTTGTTTTGTGAAATATATTTTTTAGACAGTGTATATAATAATATCAATCAAATTCATCCAGAGAAATTTTCCAATATCAGTTAAAGTGTGTTTGTTGATATATACTATAGGCAGTGGGTTTGTAGTACCTGTCAAATTCATCCAGAGAAATTTTCCTGTGGCAGAGAAAATTCTGTGTGTTGTGTTTTGAAGCTTCATATTCATCCACATAAATTTGACAATGGCAGACTAAAGTACTGTGTGGATTGTATTTTTTGAATTTGATAATTGTTTTGTACTAACACAGTGCATTAGAGATTGAATGATCATATAGGCACCTTCTTTGGCGAGATATGAGTTAAATTTATTTGTAAATTTCCGGTAGCTTCATATCAGTCATTTCAAGAAATGTGCAGACCATACAGAGCATACAAAAAATTATTGTACAACCAAGAAACAAAATTAAGCTCTTTTGGAATTTCTCTGAGTTGAGAATTTCTCTGGACCAGGGAAGAATTTCTCTGGACTCACTTCAACTCAGAAATTTGTGTCAAAGCCAGAGAAATTTTCCTTACCAACTCGGAGAAATTCCTCCTCTCCAAATCACTCAACCCAGAGAAATTCATAACTCAGAAATTCCATCTTCTGTCAAATTCATCTAGAGAAATTTTCCACCATCAGAGAAAACTATCTGGGCATTGTGTTCTGAAATTTAAAATTCATGCAATGAAATTTTCCAGTTGCAGATAAAATTACTGTGTGCTTTGTGTTTTGTTGAGTTTGATGATTGTTTTGTACCAACACAAAGTATTACAGATTACATGATCATATAGGCATCCCCTTGGGACGATAAAAGTTAAATTTCTCTGTGAATTTCTAGTAGTTTATACCAGAGAAATTTCTGCAGACAATTTTCTCTGGCAAACAATTTTCTCTGTGAATGACAATAAAATATATATATATATATATTTAACCACCGATAGGTATGAAATTTACATTAGTTGAAATAAAAAAAAATGAAATTTAGATTAGTCAAGAAAGGATATATACATATATGTCAAGGATCATCATTCCTTCAATGTATCAACAAAAAACTGAATGGTTAATACTGTATATATGTGAGACAATTTTCTCTGTGTGGATATGTACATTGTCTTCCTTTCACTGGTTTCACTGTTACATTTTTTGTTATTCTTCTGGAAGTATTTCAATTGGTTTAGTCCATGACCGGCGAACTTCGGTCACAAATCTCTCTATGAGTTCTGCCCTCATCAACCTTATCTCTTGTGTGGATAATTTGGATTTGATAGGTTCATGCTTGCTATATTGTTTCATTATATAGCAGACGAAGAGGCCACAATCCAGACTGCATACAAATTATAGGTATGGTTAGTTTTAAGAAACATGCAATTCAAATTATCTTATTTATAGATGTATGAAACTTACGAATCGCTTTCTTGTTGTGGAGCATTGTTGACATACTAAAAGTCGTAACTTGTGTTTTGTGAGTTTATTAATTTGAAAGAGGGTTGTGATTGAGCGTCTCTTTCAAGGCAAGCTTTCAAAAAATTCTCCACGTAATTTTGCTGCAAAAAAATAATTTTTATATAACAGAGAAATTTATAGACAAGTCAATGGGATTCTATGAAAATTATCATCACATAAAGATGATGATGGATCAGAGAAATTTGCACTCGTTACCAATTGTTTTGCATCTTTGACATATTTGTCTTCTGCATCATCCCTCCTTGGCCTCAGTGAGTTGTAGAACTTTCATAAATTGTCTTGTTTGTCCAGGACAAGCAAGGTCCAGTGATTTCCATGTGTGGACTTCTCATTACCTCCAGTATTTATTGGGAAATGGAGGAACCTATAGTTCCTCCATGCTGTTTCAATATGCTTGTCAAATAAGGACACTCGAAAACTTTGATTTTCTGTCATGTTGATGAAATTCTGTGCTCAGAGAAAATCAAAAAATGGTTTTGTTAGTGATACAACTGACTTCAAGAAGTATATTAAGAAGAGAAAGTAGAAAGTAAATTCCAGAGAAAATCAAATAAAATAGTAGTAACATACTAAGCACATGGATGTGAAAAAAAATGAGGTTGGTTGTTGTCTTTCTCTCATTTGGTCATCCAAAAGGATCTCTCCATGGCCATCAATGACCTGAAAAATATGATTTATAATTGTAATATTTGTTTTATAAAGGCTGATGGAACATTGCAGAGAAATGTTGATGAAAGGGAAAGACTTACATTGTTGGCAATTTCTTTTTGCTTTATGAGGTTTCCAATGTCTTCAAAGGTAATGATATTCAACTCACTTGTCCAAATTAAAGCTCTACAAGATGACAAAGAAGGGATTGAATTGTTGTTAATGCAACATAAGTTTGTAATTTGTTGTTTGTTATGTTCTATTTTGTTTGTTGTACTTACTCAATCCCAGACACATTTGATATGTGCTGCAAGATGTCTTTTATATGATCTTTCATCAATCTTGAAATGGGAAGAGTTTGTGGAAAGACCCAAGATTTTTTGATATTTATAGGTTGAGGCAAGACGTATGCATCAGCATCAAGCACTTCTTTGTCCTTCGTGCTTTGCTCAACTTGTTTTGCAGCTTGTTTTGAAGCTCTAGTCACTTTCGCAACTTTCGGATATTGGAATTCTGGATCATGCTGCATTTCCTTCCTTTCTTTTGCCTTTAAATTTTTTATCATTGAGGTCGGATCTTTTTTGACTGTAGGTAGTGAAAATATTACGAAAAGTGAAATTTCTCTGAAGCAACAGATGATATTTCAATATGTAAATTTATTTAATTCAATATTTTGCAGTTACCATAGAGTTTCTTCTTTTGTTTCGGTTGTTGTTTGTGTGGCATTTGCTCTTGTTGGGTTGTTGGTTGTTGTTCCACTTGCATTTCAACTATACACAGGGAAAATCAAACAAGCCCCAAAAATGGAATAAGAAAATATACAGAGAGATGAAATGAGCAGTAGAAATATAACTAATGTGTTCAGAGAGATGTAACTTCCAGAGAAAATTACAAATGACAGAGAAAATTATAATAAATAGAAATTTCTCTGAGTTATGTTGGCACAAGGACATAACTTTTTGTGGCTCAAGATTTTCACTGACCTTGTGGTTGAAGTTGTGTTGCTGTTCGGTATGGTTGTGTTGCTAGTTGGACAGATAGTTCTTGAACTTGTTCATGCAATTTAACATTTTCAGTTTCAAGCTCCGAATTTGAACACCTCAACTGTTGAATTATTTTTGTATCATCTGCTTTTTCAACCTCCAACATCCTTTGTTTCATTCGGAGTGTGCTTTCTTTTTCTTGAAGTTCTGAGTTATGTGATGTCAGGATTCTTATTGAAATATCCTTTTTAGCAAGTAATTCAATCCAATTTCTGTCTTCTTCTTTTCTAGATTGAGACAGTGCCTTCAGTCTTTGACGTAGATCAGCAATTTGGGCATCCTTTGATTCCTCAAATTCTTCAGGCTGATGCATTGTTGAGCCACAAATGCCATCATGTTGTTGGTCCATCGGCTCATTATTTTCTTCTTCATCACTTTCATCCTTGTTCTTTTCTTGTTGTTCATCTTCTTGTTCACTGTCTTCTTCTTTCTGTTCTTTTTGTTCTTTGTCTTCTGGTTCTATTTCTTCACTTTCTTCACTGGTTTGCTCTTCTGTGCTGCTTGCTTGATGTTCTTGTCCATTGCTGGCTTCATATTCTTCTGTGTTGCCTTCTGCTTGTTCATTCCCTCCATCTTCAGATGGATCTTGTAATGTCTCATTGAATATGACAATTGCCTTTTTTAATTCTTTCTTCGTCTTTTTGCCAAGACAAAACTCCTCTGATGGGTTTTTGACTAGCTGCTTGTTATCAATCTGTAACAGGAGACTCTTTTATTACAGAAATGTTACAAAATTCACTGAGAGAAAAAATTCAAATAAGGAAAATAAAATTCATCTAAATAATACTAATGGGAAACAAACTTCAGAGAAAATTGTATGGGCCAGACAAAATTAGAGATATGGAGTTAATTTTATGGGGCAGAGAAAATTATGAAACAAGCAACATAATTTAGATATCAGAGAAAATCAATCAAGGCATATAAGTTAATGTTTTACTATAATTGTGTCAGAGAAATTGGAATTCTAGTGAAAATTCATTAGAAGGGTAGAAATAAACAGTGTTTATCAAAGATGCAAGGCACATAAGTTATGGGCAGAGAAAATTACACACAAGGAGATAAAATTTGATGGGCCAGAGAAAATTATGAAACAACCAACATAATTCAGATATTAGAGAAAATCAATCAGGGCATATAAGTTAATGTGTTACAATTGTGGTCAGAGAAATTTGGATGGCAGAGAAAATTGATTACAATGGCAGAAATAGACCAGTGGTAAGCAAAGAAGAAAACATAAATTGATAGTTCAGAGAAAATTGATCTTAATCAATCAATGCACAAGGAGGGAAACAAAGCAGTAGTCAGAGAAATTTTTGAAATTTCACTGAGATTTCGGTAGCAATAGGAATCTAACCTGTCGAGGTGCAAGAGAGTGGACTGGTGTCTTCTGCAGCTGTTTCGTCAAGGTTTGAAGGTTCCACTTGGCACATCTTGGGAAGTTTGTTGTGTTACTGTCTTCTGAGTCAATGATAGTTGCATGTTCACATAGCCAATACTGTGATGAAAATGAAAGTAAATAAAATTTTGTAAACGCACAAATTTGTAAGTATGATAACTGCAAATTTGAATGGATATTATACTTACCAGCAATGCAATGACACACCCCGTAACTTTTTCTGGAGTTCTATGCAATGCCATGATAGAATCAATCAATGTTGATGTGATTGCTTCCGGCCAATCATACTGTTTCATTGATTCAAGAGGTTCCACATACTTTATAAAAACCCAACCTATTGAATTCCCACTTGTTGCAAAAAATAGGGTGAGACACGAGTACAATGTAACAATGATTGCTACATCTTTGAAGTCAGTTGGTTGCTTGCCTTTCATTGCTTTGACCAAGGCATTTTTAAGAACAGGACCAGTGAGCCTTGTGTCCTTTTGGAATTTTCTCCTGAGGAATGTAGATTTTGGCTTTTTAGAGTATCTTAATGACAAGGCTCCTTTACCTCCTTCCAAACCAAAAATCAAGGTTATGTCATTTGTTGTAAAGGTCAGGTTCTTCTTCCCAACTGTGAATGCTTTTGTTTTTTCATTGTAACATTGGATTATGGCAACTACGCCATCATCGGATTTCCTAGATTTCTTTGGATCCATCCTTCCAGTGGTTAGAGCTTGGATCAAATACCAGAATGGGGTCTTTTGAAGCTCTAGAAGATGTTTTGAACTGAATTTAAGTGTTTGAAAGAAGGAGACGACTGATGAGAGGTTGGATCGGAATTAAATGCTGTAGTGAGCTCTCTTTCTGTGGAGTTTAACAGGTTTTTTCCCCATTGAGCTTGAGTCTTTTGAAGTTGGGGTACTCATCTGGATGCTAGTTACTTGATCAGCTTGGACTTATGTGTTTTGGGAAGGAGTTTGTGGTGTTTTAGTGCTGGTTTTTGATATTAGATGATAAGAGGACTGAGAGAGTTGTTCTTTCTTGCTTGGTGTTTTGCTGCTGGTTTTTGATCCTAGTCCATAAGAAGACTGAGAGAGTTTCTGTTTTTTGCTTGGTGTATCCGGTGTTTCGCTGCTTTTACGTTTTGCCATTTCTAGACAATGATTAAAACATAGAGATGTCAACATTAAATCCCAGAGAAAAATAGACATGTCAGAGAAAATTACAGATAAGGGAGAACATTACAAAAAAGAGAAAATTGGAGATGCCAGAGAAAATTACAGATAAGGGGAAATTACAGAAAATTGGACATGCCAGAGAAAATTTGACATGCCAGAGAAAATTGGACATTAAAAATTAAATGTCAGAGAAAATCAACACAGCATCATAAATATGGGAGAGAAACTTTCAATAATTGTTTAAATTACATATAGAAGTAAACATACCAGAGAAAATGAATGATAGAAAAAAGTAAACATGGCAAGCGAAAGAAAATTTCCATTCCACAATTAGCAAAGATAAAATAAACAAAGTAAGGTAAACATGCCACTGAGAATTACACCATATTGAAATCAAGAATTGAACAAAATAAACATACCAGAGAAAAATGCACATTTTGGAGAAAATTACACATTCTTGAGGAAATTTCCAATCCAGAAAAAATTTCAATTCATAATATTAAAATGCAAGAGAAATTTACATACACAACCAGAGAAAATTAACCATGATAGAGACACTCAAGGGAGGAAAGTGGTGCGATGTGGTCAGAGAAAATTATAAATACCACCCTGTCTTAAGACAGAGGCAAGAAAGCAATAGACATTCCAAATTAAGATAGATATTCCAATTAAAAATACATATTACAGAGAAATTTACGGAGCAGGAAAATTTATAGACAGAATTACAGAAACATGTTCAAGAATAAGATAAAAACACAAAAAATTGTTGTGAAAATAAACTTGCCAGAGAAAATTGAAAGAAGAAACATTACATTAATCAAAAATCAGAGAAATTCAAATGCCAGAGAAATTTACAGATAAAATCACACAAACATGTTGAAGAATAAGTTCAAAACACACAGAAATAACTTTTTCCAAATTCAGGTAGCTTTTTATTACGAAATTGAAACCCTAATTTATGGAAGGTTATTATAAAATGCTATTAACTGTGTTTCCAGAGAAAATCTAGTTGTATTGTAGAAAAACTGACCAGAGTTAGGATGATACTTGAATGACGAGCTGATATGGCCCGAGATGAAGATGCGACGTGACGAAGATGGACTGAGATGATGATGAGCGGTGAAAACGAAGCTTTAACCTAGGTCAGAGAAATTTGTGAGGAAGGAATGAGAATGATTTTTGGAGAAGATAACGAAGCTCTAATGTCAATGGTGCAGATGATGTTGAAACCCTAATTCTGTTGTTCTCCTGTTCGTGAAGATGCTGGATGTTTGGAATGTAACTTAGACGTCGGAATGAGTTGGTTTCTGTGTTGATTTTGGCAAGGGTATTTTGGTCCACAAAATAATTAAAAACGCGCGCCAAGTTGTTTCAGGGACGTGATGCATCACTATCT